TTTTTTTTTTTTCACAAGGTGGCAACACTGCGAAAGCCTGTTGTTTCACAGTTGAAAAGCAAACAAATGAGATGGAGCAACAACAAACTACTGAAGATGCAACAACACTAGATGTGTTGACAAGCATTTGCGTGAGAGGGTTAAGAGATACTCACGACTCTTGGTTAAACAAGTACAAAGACATGTTTATCAGTCATAACTTCTGGAGAGAAATGGCTCAGACACTGGACAAGAATGACACTTTTTGAAGTGCGCATGTGTCGAGCGACTGTGTTCGCACACGTTATGAAATGGAGTATGCTGAAGCCCACAGTATACTTTGGCCGTCTGCGTTCCTTGATGGTTCGCGCGGGGTCTGTGTAATGCAATTTTCGTCATCAGAAGTGTTATCAGTACCCAATTATTGTGACCACGTGGACGATCCGCATACAACAGTACAGGTTTTGGTGTGTCACTTTTACAAAGCTATCATATGTTTTCAGATGACTTGAAATATACAGTCATATGGGCTAATTTTATAGTGCTTTTTTTACTTGACAGTAAAAATTACCATCCACTTTCCTTTTGCAAATGCAGCTTGGATGTTGTCTAACATTTAATTACGTGTTTCATGGACTTAATGTAATAATATAGGGATGGAACAACATGAAAGTGAAGAAATGATGTCAAAATGTTAATTTTATATGTGAAAAGTTCTCTCGAGTGTTTGTATGAAAAGGCATTTGAAATGGTGTGTCAGGCAATCTGCAACACAGCTTGGGGGCCTGATTAGGGTGGTCTTGCACTTGGGATTATGTTTACATTAGCATGTCATTCTGTTAACTCTTCAGATTCTTAGTCGAGTCCCAAAACACACACACACACACATACACACTGCAAGGTAATCAGTAACCTGCTAATGTGAGCATGTAACATGTGAATGTGAAAGCTGTGCGTTCTAAACACAGAGGCCCCCAGGGTCATTTTTAAGATGGGAGTGAGACGGAGTGAGACGAAGAGTTTTAGTGCTAGACACAATTAAACACGGGTTAATACTTTAACCCCTTAGTTTGTCAGGAAGGAGAAGGCGCCAATTGTATATCTATTGTATGTTTTTCCATGGAATATGGAACAGTGTAGAACTTGCACTGATTCGAACATGATTGGTTGGACATCTTTATCTCATTGTGTGTTTGAGGAATCAATCTCTCAGGAGTGCCGGTGAGGAGTTTCTGAGGTTGGGATTGCAGTGTTAAAGACTGTGTTAAAATCCCGAGTCCTGAGAAAGAGTTCAGAACAGGAGGATTGTGGGAGGAAATGAGTTGAGGATGGGAATGAATTCTGCTGGAAGAACTCTGAATGCTCTGTCCTGCTCATTCGACATCACTCTGCTCTCTGTTTATTTTACTAGGCAGGAACAGGTTGATGAGGAAATCAACTTGTCTTTTTTTTCCCAGTGTGATCGCTTTGCTAAAAAGATCCATGTGGTTTT